GCGGGCACATCCCCAGTAGGGGGTGTGCAAGAGGCAGCTGATGGATGATTCTCTCTCATCGATGTTTCTAACTCTCTATCTCTCTCCCTTCCTCTCTGTAAAAAACCAATAAAATATATTAAACAATATGTGTTTCCCTCCCTCCCTGTGGAGAAGAAAATTGGACCTGCTTCCCCGAGGACCGGAGGCGCAGAATGCTAGGCCCCGGCACCGGGGAGTGGCCATACCCCGAAGCCTCCAGCGGATCTTCTGCCCCCTGAGGAGTAAGAGTCCCTGGTCCCCACCCCACGGCTTTTGGCGGACCCTGCCACATGTCAGGGTTTCTTATCTGTATTCCTGCCATCTCTGTTTCCCCCTCGCTCTCTCTCTTCCTTCGTCGTTCTGTTTCCCTGCCTCTGGGTGCCCGTGCTCCTGTCCCCTCTGTGTTCTCTGTCACCCGTGTCTCTGCTGGAGACAAGGGCGAGGCCTGGGGGCATGGCAGGGCGGGGAGGGGGGTTAGTGGCCAGACCAGGGGCCCGGGACATGAGCGCAACTTTCCAAGCTGCTCTTCCAGGCCCCTGTGGTTGGGGAGCTCCACAGAGGGAGAGATGAGTCAGCGGGGCCGCAGAGTGGGGTGGGGGGGTCTAGGTGGGGATGGGAATGCCGGGGTTCCCCAGCGCCAGGGAGTCGGCTGGGGCCATCTGGGTCTTGGAACTCGGGTGGACATGGGGTGGGGGTAAACGATCAGTGAGTCCCCGGAAGGTACCCTGGAGGTTCCCACACTGGTAGGAGCTGTAGGACGCAGTTGTAGGACTGGCAGTGCCGCCCACACCACCCTTATCTGTAGATCCTTGTAGGAAAAGGGGGTTCCTAAATCCCCTCTAGGAGAGCGCAGGGATCTCTAGGCTGTAAGATTGTGATGATAGACCCATGTGTATGTGTGTATGTATGGGACATTTACCGTATTGTAACTGTTGTGTGATGTGAGTCTGAGTCCGTGTGTGTGTGTGTGTGTGTGTGTGTGTGTGTGTATTCTAGATGTCTGTGAGTCTCTCTGCATGTATGTACAGACACATAGAGCAAATGAAACACATTTTTGTGATTGGGGGTTAAGGCATACATGTATATACACACAAACATATATACACACACACAAACATATATACACAAATATATATATATATAATATACACACATACATATATGTGTGTGTGTCAATTTGGGCATCTGCAGAGCATATATATTTTCATCATTCAGCGTGTGTGCAAGTGTTTATCTGGGGGTGTCACACATTAGATCTATATTAGAGTATGTGTCAATCTTTATTTCAGGGGCTCTGTTCCCTGTTCCCTGGGGATTCCATCTGGGGAAGCTAAATCTACAATGAGCACAAAGGGAGGGCTGGAGCCCCTTTGGAGGAGGGTCCTCAGAGGAGCCCAGCCTCGGAGGTGGGCAGAGTGCAGTGGTGTGGGAGGGGTCAGCTTCCAGGAGAAGTAAGGGGTAGCAGCCTCCACTCCCACCAGTTTCAACTCTCTCTCCCTCCCCGCTGACCATTCCAAAAAGGGCTAAAGAGGCGTGAGGCAGGTTCCAGATCCAGCCTCCTCTAACCTGGAAACCCCACTCTGCTCCTCCTCGGGGAGGGCGGGAAGGGAGTGGCCCTGTGGTTCAGCCGGGTCCTGGGGTTGAAAGATCAGAAAGACACCGTCCCACCCCTTCCTTCAGCGGCGTCCATCTCTGGGAGCTCAGTGTCTGGGTGGCCATGGGCGGAGGCTGAGGGGCCCCCAGGGTGGTGGTGGGGGGTGGTGGATAGAAACCAGATGCCTAGGGGGTTTATACTGGAAGGACCAGAGCCGCAGCCTCTACCCGCCCCTGCCACATGGCGCCTCTGCCTCAGCTGCCCCCCCCCCCTGGGAGGCTGGGCTGAGGGAGGCTGGGAGGGTGGAGGCAGGTCCTCGGTCAGGGCTCCCAGTTGCTGCCCCTCCCCACCCCTCCCCCCGCCCTTGGGGGCGCTGAGAGGGGTCTGGGAATCTGGACTCAGGAATATCTGGGCTCAGTCGGGCTGCAGAACTACCTTTTGAAAAGGTGTGGAAATTGGAACCCAGGGTCCTGGGGGAAGCAGCTGGGAGCTTCCGGCAGCCCCTCTGCCTGGCTTTGGGACAAATCTTAGGAGGGGACCCTGTGTCCAGGGACTGGCCCCTGGCATGGGCCCTGGCTCATATCTTCCCGGGGACCCTGCTCCTTCCTTCCTCTTTCTTCCCTGGCACCACGGCTCCTTCCCAGAGAGGATTGGGGCTTAAGGTCCCCCAAAAAGGAAGGAGAGAAGGTTCGCCTCCCTTGTCCCCCAGATCTTCTCCCCAACCCTGCACCTTTTCCCATCCTTTCCTCACTCCTCTTTTTGCCCTTCACTCTCTTCCTTTCCTCCCCAATTTAGTGTGAGCCTAATGCCTCTCCCGCCCGCCCTTTCTTCTCCGGAGTGTAGACTTTTCTCCTCTGCCTCAGTTGCCTGCCTCACCAACTGGACTTGAGCCTTTTTGCTACTGGTGCAGTAATTTTGCCAAAGCTTCCCCTTACCAGCTCTGAGTGTGTGTGTGTGTGTGTGTGTGTGTGTGTGTGTGTGTGTAGGGGGAGCAGAATGCCATCTGGCACATCAGGCTCAGATGCCCCCCCAGCAGGGGGAGACTGCGAGGTCACGGGACACCCCACCACGGGCACTTCCTCTTGGGCAGACTGGGTGGGGTGGCCGTGTAATCATGGAACACAATTATGCGCTATTTATACTCCGTCCCCGCCCCCCCACCTGCCTGGCTGCTTTAACCCTCTGGCCTCCTGGGTGCCTGACCAGGCCTCTGGCTATTTCCCTTGTCCTGCCCTTTCTTGAAGCCATTGTCTCCTCACCTTTGTTCCTCTGGGTCAGTTTCTTTTCCTTCTTAGATTTTTTTTTTTTTTTCCTGCTCTCTGTGTTTTGAATCAATGTACCTGGTCCTCTGTTTTCTTTTTCTCTCTCTCTGCTATAGCGCACAGTCTCTCTCCTGATTCTCTCGGATTGTATCATTTGCTCTATGTGTCTCTCGGTCTTTCTGTGTGTGTGTGCTTTTTTTTTTTTTTTAGATGTTAATTTTTAAAAATATATATATATTTAAAATATATTTTATTGATTTCTTACAGAGAGGAAGAGAGAGGAAAAGAGACCTAGAAACATCGATGAAAGAGAATCATCAATCAGCTGCCTCTTGCACACCCCCCACTGGGGATGTGCCCGCAACCAAGGTACATGCCCTTGACTGGAATCGAACCTGGGACTTTTCAGTCAGCAGGTCTACGCTCTATCCACTGAGCCAAACTGGTTTTAGCTTTTTAAATATATTTTATTGATTTTTTTACAGGGAGGAAGAGAGAGGGATAGAGAATTAGAAACATTGATGAGAATCATTGATCAGCTGCCTCTTGCACACCCCCCACTGGGGATGTGCCTGCAACCAAGGTACATACCCTTGACCGACCGGAATTGAACCCGGGACCTTTCAGTCAGCAGGTCTCCGCTCTATCCACTGAGCCAAACCGGTTTCGGCTTTCTGTGTTTCTTCTTTTGCTTCTTGTCCTTTGTCTGGCAGCCACCCTGGTTCCCTAAACCTCTCCCCAAAAGTTGGGTCCACAGTGTTCCTTGGGGGAAATCAAATCATTGGGCAGGAATCTAGAATCTAGGGTCCCTCTGCAGAACTTTGATCCTGCCTGCTGGTCAAGCTCCCTGGACTTCCACCAGCTCCGACTCCCTCCCACATTTTCCGTGGAGAGCTGGGAGAGCAAAGGGGCCAGGAAGTGGGCAATGGGGAAGAGACAGTGGGGGGGGGGGAGCTTGGGGGAGTGGGGAGGGAAGGACAGGGCCCCATTCCTCCGAGGGGCAGGGCTGGGCTGGGGGAGAGGGGTGTGTTGGAGAATAACTTGTAAAACAACCCCAGCTGGCTGGGCCCCTCCACGGGAGAGATGCTGGTTCTGCTACTTGGCTGCCTAGTCCTCTCCCCCACAGACTTTCCTCAGGATCCAGGTTTCAGTGAACAGACGCTTTGATTTCCCTCTCCCAACCTTCCTTGTCTTCTACCCTGTTTTGATAATAAGTCCTACCTGAACTCTAACTTCAGTCCTTCCTGCTGTGGAGGGAACCGTGTGTGGCGATGGGAAAGGGAACATGCGCTCCCTCCAGGAAGTGTGATCGCTCATGAGAACTACCATCCAAGGACGACAGGATGTGTGGCCAGGAGGGACCTGGGGAGGGTAAAAGGCAAGGAATAGCGGAGCTAGGAAGCACATACCTTTTTGGGGCTTACTCCAAAGGGGCTAGGCTTGAGCATGGATGAGTTGACCCAATGACCTTCTATCCCCACTCCCATTCCTGCCTGCCTTAATTTCCCCAGAATCCGAAGATCCAGGTTCTGCTCCAGAGAGTGAGGTGGGCCTGGGTGCCACTTCCCAGGAGGCACTGGGAAGAAGACTGGGGAATCCCCAAGCCTGTGCGGAGCCCTCCCCGACTCTCTGTCCCTTCCTCCAGGCCTTGCTTTGGAACCTCCCTACGTGATCCCAAAAGCCTGGGCAGCAGAAGCCTTCACCCCACAGTTCCCCCTCCTGTCTTTCATAACACCCATGCACACACACACACACACACACACACACACACACACTCATGCATGTACACACACATGCACACACACACTGCCCTCCTGATCTAGAGGTGGGTGACTGGGGAAACAAGCATCTCTGTGGTCACCTCGGGTGTGTGTGTGGTGTGTGCGCCTCCAGCCATGCCACTGAGCTCATCTGTGTGTGAGTTTGTCTGTGTTCGTTCATGACAGTGGCTGTGTCCCCCTGGCAACTCTCTGTGTACGTGTGCATGTATCATCCTATGTTTGTCCATGAGTGTGTATGCTGTGTGTTCCAGTCTCTCTGTGTGAGTGTCGTCCCCAATCCCCCATCCCCCCCCTGGATCTCTAATTAGTGGTTTGGGGTTTGTTCCTTTTCCCTCCTGTTCCTTCCCTCAGCGGCAGCAGCGGCGGCAGCAGCCTCAGCAGCAGGAGTAGCAGCCGAGCAGCAGCAGCCGAGAGCGGCAGCCAGGACGCTGGAGTCAGTAGGATTGTAGGATCGGAGCCCAAGTGGGAGCAGGAGTGGAGCTGGCCTGGGAGAGGAGCCGAGCCCTCCCAGGACCCTCAGGCCACCTACTGCCTGCACTCCCACTGCCAGACCTCCAGAGGAGAGACCCGGGACACCCAGCCCCAGATCCCCCAGGTATCTGACACCGGGGAGTGCTGGGAGGGGTGCCCATAGATGCCCGTGGGGTTGCTGGGGGCCGGGGTGTGGGACACCTGGGCCCACCAACCTTTCAACCCTCCTCCTCAGCAGCCCCCAGGATGCCCTGACTCCTTGCCCATGTCCTTACCCCCCTCCGGCTCCCACCCCTTCCCCGGGAGCCCTTTCTCCTCTCCTGCCCAGATCCTTCTTTGGGGAGCTCAGCAAATGGAGCAGGAAATTTGGACCCTCTGCCTCCCTCTCTCGCCCTGTTCATTGGATCCGGAGCCTTCTCCTCGGGGAAAGCTGTAATTAGAGGGTGGATCCCTACAGACAGAGAGCAGCCCCCCCCCACTCCCACCCCCCAGTCCCTTCTAACTTTAGATCTCTTCTCTCCCATTCTACCATTCTCCCGCCCTCTCCCTCTCCTTCTTTCTCCGGCTCGGCTCTCTCCATCTGCCTGGCTCCTTGGGACCCATTCCCCAGCCTCAGGATGGCGTCCTCCCTGCTTGAGGTAACTGCCCCTGCTCCCTCCCAGGACACCAGCCACGATCTCCATGGTCCTCCTCCCGCCCGCCCCCCACCTCCCAACTCACTCAGACAGTTTCTGTGGTGCTTGTCACTTTCAAGGGTCCCTCTGATGAGGAGAGAGGAATGGGGTCAGAGGAGGGGGAGAAGGGGGCAGGAGAAAGGAGGGGAGGAGAGCAGGACCAGGGGTCAGAGGGCAGCCTAAGGAAGAGGATTAGGCAAAAAGAAGGCAGGACCCCTATGGTCCACCAAGCTTACCAACTCTGAGGAATGCAAAGGGGATGGAGGAAGGAGCTAGTGGAGGGGACGGTGGGGAAATAAGGGCAGGGGATAGGTACGCTGGTAGCACACAGGGGGAGAAGGAGAAGGTGACAGGACTGGTTGAGCGGGCACAGAGTGGCAATTGGGTATAGGTCCTTGGGGGTCTCCGGGGACTCAGCCTGAGCAGTGTCTTGTCCGGTTTGTAGTGGGAAGGGGCTGGGCCTCCGGGCTGGTGTGTCTGGGAGCAGAGGTGGGCGAGGAGGGAAGGGAGAAGGCAGCCCTGTGCCCCAGTGCCTGAGCGGGGGCTGACCAGAGGAACTGGGCCCAGGCCTGAGAGGAACCGAGGAGGAGGGCCAGGGTCTGAGGCCGCCTGCCCAGCTCACAAATATTTAGCTTTCAGCCAAAGACAAACTCAGCTCTATTTTGGGAGTGGGAGGCTCCAGGGCGGACCGGGCCACTTCCCCTCCAGGCTGGGACCCCAGCATCTCTCTCCTCTGGCACTGGGTACAGAGGGAACTGGGGTGCCACGGGGGACAGGATTTCGGGGTCTTGAGAAATCCCTGACTCCACCAGGGCTCCCGAGGGAGTGATGGCACACAGCTGGAAAGGGGGACTCAGCAGTTCAGAGGCTGTTTTACAACGTCCTGCGTTTTCTCGGCTTCTGGGTCTCTGACTCTGTTTCTCTGTCGCCACCTCTGTTCCCCCTCCGCGGGAACCTGCAGCCGGGGAGCCCTCCCTGAACGTCGACCTCTTGACATGGCCTTGCCGCTTCCATAGTCTTGGGCCCCTCAGGAGCCCCCATGGCTGTTTCCTGTGCCCTTGCTCAGGTCCCGGGGTGATGGGCCAAACAGGAAGCCAACTCATTCGGCCTGCAGGAGCGGTGTGTGTGCGATGGCACCGGAGTCTCAGTGCCTGTGTTTATTGGCCTGAGTGTAAGTGTTAGAATGTAAAGCAGGGCTGCATGCGTGGCTGGCTCTTTGAGAGCGCAGGTGTGTGTGTGTGTGTGTGTGAGCCGGGACATAGTTGTTAGTCCAGGTGGGGGGAATGGCATATGGGTAAGGCTGAGAGACAGTGTGTGACTGAATTTGAGGGAATGACAGACAAGCCAATGGTGTAGACACCATGTCCCTTGTCAGCACCCTTACCCAGTCAGGAGTCCCAGGTGTTGCAATGGAGGCAGCCTGCTCTCCCTGTCATCTCTCCACGAGACTCAGTATTGAGCCATCATTGAAACACAGGAGGACTAAGGTGCATGGAAATCCTGGGCCCACCCAAGGCAGGGGCAGTGTCAGTGGGTGTGGGTGTCACACGAGAGTTGCCAGCGTGGCACTGGTGCCTGGGGGAAAGGGACCCAGAGGCCTGCTGGAAAGACACCGGACAGGGACAGCACTTGGCAAGGGGAGCATGCCATGGCCCTCACTCCCTGGGAGCTGGAGATGTTCCAATACAAAGGCATTCCGGTCCCTCCGTGTCTTTTACCCATTTGGGGGCACCTGGGTCCTCAACTTTCCCTCCTCTTCTCCGCAGCCACCACCACCAGGAAGCCCTTAGCCTGGTACGGGGGGACCTGTGACGGTGGGAAGAACGTGGGTTCAGACAGGGACGCAGTTGCTGCTTGCTGGGAAGCTCCCCTGGGCTGCGTGAGGCGCAGAACAGGCAGGCGGGGTGCGTGCGGTCAGGGCCAGGTGCAGATGGAGAGCTGGAAGTTGGGAGAACGGAACAACTTGGGAGGAGGTTGGAAAAGTGGACAACTGGAAACTGGGACCTTGGGTGCTCACAGCCGATGGCCAGTCCGTCCTCAGATAGGCCGTGAGCCAATGTCCCAATGGAGGTCCGCCTGGCGCCCAGAACACCTTCCCAGCTGAGCACCTGGGTGAGGGAGCTGGGACCGCTCCTCTGGTTCCTCCTTCAGAGGCCCCCTCCCATCCTTGAAGTCTGCTTTGTGGTGTTGTTCTGAGGACTAGTGGGTGGGAGAAGGTGGGTGTGAAAACAATCTGAAGGTAAGATTCCTGGGTCCTGAGAAGGTAACGCATTGATTAGATAGGAGGCTCCTGGAGCCCCTCAAAGGGCCCTCCCCAGGCCTCAGGAGAGCGCAGGCAGCCAGGGAAGGAAACTGAGTCTGTGGTTAAGCTTAGCCAGGGGCCCAGCCCTTGGCTCCTAGAACAGTCTGTGTGGGCCTGAGGTCTCACTCCTTTTCCTTGCCCCCAGGGCCCCTGAGGGCCTCCGCTCCCCAGGGCTGGGGTCTCCTGCTGGCCTGGGGCTGCTTGCCTCCTTTCACCCCTCCTCCCCTCCCCACAGCTGGGTGGGGTCCCTGGGCTTGGCTGAGGCCCCTGTGGCCACAGTGTGAGGGCCGGGCGGGGGACGGCGTCGGCGTTTTTAAAAATAAACCGACCGCAGGGAAACCAACGGAGCCGGCCTGGGCTGGGCAGAGGGGGAGGGGGCAGTCAGGGGGAGAAGGCGGGAGAAGCGGCCTGGTCTGGGGGTGTTTTGGGGCCCAGCAGCGTGGTGGTTTTCTTCGGTAGGAAATCTGCTTTTCTTCCTTCCCGTCCTGCTCCCCCTTCCTCTTCCTCCTTTCCCCTCTGTTTTCCTTTGCCTTCCTAGCCCAGTCTCGTTCCACCACCTCTCTTTGTTTATACTGGTTTCCTCTAGCTCCCTCCCTTTTGTCTTTCCACCTTCCTGCTCTGTTGGGGTTCCTGCCTTTTCTGTCCCCAAGGCCAGTTTCCCCCTCTTTCCCTTCCCCCACCTCTGGGGGCTTTTACATAATCTCCTCACCCTGTGCCAGGGGCTTGGCCCCGGGTCTCTGGGTCTCTGCCTCTCCCCTTCCTACCCCATGTTTCTCTCCTGCTGGGACCCTCCTCCTGGCCCGGCTGCTGCCCCGCCTCAGCCCACCCCCTGCTGGGGGCATCGGAGGCTCCAGGAGAACCCTGGCTGGGAAGCACGGGGCTTCCATCATGGCCAGATGGGAGGGAGGCTTTGGTGCCTCCGGTTTGGGAGTCCATGTCCATGGAGCATCAGGCTTGCACTTGGGGAGCAGTGCTCGCGCTCTTCACTGCAACCCCAAGGCCCTAGGCCTACCCTGAGGATTGGCGTCACCCACACACAACATGCTGGCAGGCAGGGCTGGGAACCCTGGGCTCCTGGGTTCTTCTTCAGCTTTACTGAAGGCACACCAAGTACATTGGCTTTTTTTTTTTTTTTAATACATTTTATTGATTTTTTACAGAGAGGAAGGGAGAGGGATAGAGAGTTAGAAACATCCATAAGAGAGAAACATCAATCAGCTGCCTCTTGCACACCTCCCACTGGGGATGTGCCCACAACCAAGGTACATGCCCTTGACTAGAATTGAACCTAGGAACCTTCAGTCCGAAGACCGATGCTCTATCCACTGAGCCAAACCGGTTAGGACTACATTGGCTTTTGAGGAGCCCAGTCAGGGAACTGTCCAGGGTCAGCTTTTGAGGACATCTTTTGTGTGTGTGTGTGTGTGTGTGTGTGTGTGTGTGTGTTTGGAATTCTCAGTAATGGATGCCTGTCTATGCCAGCCAGGAATTCTGGAGGGCACCTCCTCCAGGCAGTCCCAGGGAGGAGTACCAGGCTCCTGAGGGAGGACTGGTCTGGTAGCAACAGCAGGAGGGGCATTAAGGGCCTTCTCAAAGCCCCTCAGGCCTCACGTCTGCAGAGCTTCCTTCACTCTCTGTGCTGGAAGGGTGCAGAGAGACCAGCTACTCGGGCTGCATGTCAGGGGACACTGAGGCATGGAGGGGTGTGGCTGCGAGCCAGTATCCTAGCCACCCCAATTTCTTACCCTGGAGGGGCCTGGGGACTTCAAGCTCTTCTGCCCCACAAACGGGGTACCAGCTGGCTCCACGAGGCAGGAGGTGCCCACTGCCCGCTTGAAAGACATTCTTGCCTCAGCCACAGTCTTGGCTTGGCGGCAGCCCTGTTCCCTCTCAATGTCTCAGTGTCTCAGCCATCGCTTCCTCTCGCTCCCAAGGCCCGGGGTCCCTGCCAAGAGATTCCTTACCAGGGACATGAGGACAAGGCCTTGGGGAGACCAGCCTGGGCCACTGCCTTAGTCAGGAGCTGAAGTGGAGACAGGAAGTGAAATATGGGGTAATGCTGGGAAAATCTGTCTCCTAATATTTTTCCTCCTTCCCAGAATACTCTTTGAGCCTCATCTTCCCTCTCCCAATCCCTGGCTTTGGCCTCTGCTCCGGACCACTCCCAGGGATCAGGGTCCCTAATTCTTACCTCGTCCAGGTGTGGCGGCTCTTCTCCGGGCTCTTTAAGAGGCAGCTCCTGTCTCTCTGAGGCCTTTGCACACCCCCAGCTACATACAGTGAGCCCTTTTCTTGCCTCCTCAGTTGGGTGTTAAGCTGTAGTCCTGGCTTCCGCTTTCCTTCCACAATGCCACCTGAGCTCTGTCCTGGGACCCAGTCCTCACTGGCCCCTCCTCTTACTTCTCCTTCCCCAATCTCTCCAATTCTTCCCTGACCCCTCCGTTCTCTTCTCCTTGTGTGGAGGTTGAAATCCTAGTTCACCTCTCTGTGTTCTCCTCCTCCCCCCTAAGCAGTGCTTCCGTGTCTCCCCAGGAGGAAGCTCACTATGGCTCCAGTCCGCTGGCCATGCTGACGGCGGCGTGCAGCAAATTCGGCGGCTCCAGCCCTCTGCGGGACTCCACCACCCTGGGCAAAGCAGGCACCAAGAAACCGTACTCTGTGGGCAGCGACCTCTCGGCTCCGAAAACCATGGGGGACGCCTACCCAGCTCCCTTTTCAAGCACCAATGGGCTCCTCTCCCCTGCAGGCAGTCCTCCGGCACCCACCTCGGGCTATGCCAACGACTACCCTCCCTTTTCTCACTCTTTCTCTGGGCCCACAGGCACCCAGGATCCCGGGCTCCTAGTGCCCAAGGGACACACTTCCTCTGACTGCCTGCCTAGCGTCTACACCTCTCTGGACATGGCGCACCCCTATGGCTCCTGGTACAAGGCAGGCATCCACGCAGGCATCTCACCAGGCCCGGGCAATGCTCCTACACCTTGGTGGGACATGCACCCTGGGGGCAACTGGCTGGGAGGCGGGCAGGGCCAGGGTGATGGGCTGCAGGGGACATTGCCCACAGGCCCCACTCAGCCTCCGTTGAACCCCCAGCTACCCACCTACCCGGCCGACTTTGCCCCTCTTAATCCAGCCCCCTACCCAGCTCCTCACCTTCTGCAACCCGGGCCTCAGCATGTCTTACCCCAAGATGTCTATAAGTCCAAGGCCGTGGGCAATAGCGGGCAGCTGGAGGGGAGCGGTGGAGCCAAAACCCCCCGTGGCACAGGCACAGGGGGCAGCGGCGGCTATGGGGGCAGCGGAGCGGGGCGCTCCTCCTGCGACTGCCCTAACTGCCAGGAGATAGAGCGCCTGGGGGCGGCGGCGGCCGGGCTGCGGAAGAAGCCCATCCACAGCTGCCACATCCCCGGCTGCGGCAAGGTGTACGGCAAGGCCTCGCACCTGAAGGCGCACTTGCGCTGGCACACGGGCGAGAGGCCCTTCGTCTGCAATTGGCTCTTCTGTGGCAAGAGGTTCACGCGTTCGGACGAGCTGGAGCGCCACGTGCGCACCCACACCCGGGAGAAGAAGTTCACCTGCCTGCTCTGCTCCAAGCGCTTCACCCGCAGCGACCACCTGAGCAAGCACCAGCGCACCCACGGCGAGCCGGGCCCGGGCCCCCCGCCCGGCGGCTCCAAGGAGCTGGGGGAGGGCCGTGGCGTGGGGGAAGAGGAGGCCAACCAGACACCCCGGCCTCCAGCCTCTCCGGCACCCCCAGAGAAAGCCCCCGAGGGCAGCCCGGAGCAGAGCAACCTGCTGGAGATCTGAGCGGGGTGGAGGGTCTCCAGCCCGGGGCTGCTCGCCAGCCTCTCCTGGCCCCGTGGCCCACTGCTTGGCCCTCGCTCCTTTGCTCCATGCATGCTGCCCTTTGGGGTGCTCTCCATCTCTCCCCAGCTATGCTGAGCCTGGGTATCGCCCTGCATGCCTCCTCAGCTCCCCGCTTCCCCTTGCCATAAGCCCATCCCATAACTCTCATCTCAGGCCCTCCTCACCTGGTGCCCGATTTCTGTCCTTTAGCTTCCGAAACTCTTCCTCGCCCTGGCTCACAGCTTCCCTCTTTTCTGCTCATATCACACCAACTCGCTTTCCTCCCATGGACTCCCAACACTTTATTGCTCCACCTTATTAACTCCTGGACACCCACCCTCCTGCTTCCCAAGCTTATTTACCACTCTCCCTTTGCTTCCAGGCTCCAGGCTCCCCGAGTTCTCATTCCACTGCTGTCCCTGCTCCAGAGCGTTCTTCCTTTTTACAAACACAACTACGATAACGATGACGGTGATGATGATAATTTATTGCCCCCTGGTGGCCTCTCCATTAGGGACCAGAGTTAGGGGGATTGGGGTTAGTGACCTGGCAGGGAGCAGGGTACTAAAAGGGGGGCAGACCATTGGGGATCTGATCCCAAAGATGGGGTGACCCCCAGGCCTGTATATTTAACCCCTATGTTCCAAGAGAAATGAATAATAATAATAATTCTATTTATCTAAGTTATGATGACAGGTCAGGTAGAGTGAGCTGGGGAGGAGGGAAGGAGATCCGTCTCTGCTACGGAAATTTTAGCCACATGCATCTCGGAATAGAAGTGTTAGGAGAGATCTTGTTAATAGAATTTCTATCATCAGGGTCTCAGTTACAGGGGTTTCTCTTTTAATGGAATCTGCTAACAGGATTGGTTAGCTTGGTCTGTTAAAGAGTGATGGGGTTCTCTCTCAATTAGGGGATCCCTAATATTCCCGCCCCCAGCCAGAAGCTGTGAAACTTCAAGTCCTATGGAAGGGGGAGGGGGACTGGAATTACCCCAGCTTCCTCAAACCCAGAACCAGTTCTTCCACTTCTCCTCCGCTGACACCATGACCCCATCAGGCTAATCCCTTGTTGCCATGGTTATGGAGAATTTACAGCTGCCATTTTAGACAGGCTCATTGGAGAAGCCCACCTCACAGGAGGAGGACATTGGTCTGGAGGTGCCTCTCCTGCAGAATAGGTGGGGAAGTTTTTCCCTGGGATCAGATGAAAAAACATCAAGTATTTATTGAGTGCCTACTCCGAGACCAAGGCCGGTGCCTAGAAGCCATGACAAAGAAGTTACAGAGCTAGGAGGACATAGGTCCCTAAGCTGATTGGGGTGCATACACAGGCCCCCAACTGGGGACTTTCGAGGCTCCCACCTCCACCTCCAGTGACTTTCAAGCCGCTTCGTGCCTTTGAATACCTTTCCTGTGACTTTGGATCCTCCTTTTCTGTCTCCTGCTCCCTCAAGGCCCCCGGTTCGAGGGTTCAAACCGCTGGAGCTTGGGGAGAGGGTAATAAAATGGAAGGGAAGGGATCATGCCCTCATGGAGTCTTTTCTTTTTTCTTTTTTTAATTTAATAAATAAAAGTTCGATTTTAAACTTTGTCCTGGTGAGAAAAGGGGGCTCAGAAGGGAAAAGGGTGAGCCACAGGACTTTTTTTTCCTTGGGAAAACTGGGGCCTGCGTTCTGGGGAGCTGGTTGGCACAGGGTGCCCGCGGGAGAAGCTCGGTCCCCAGCTCTCCAGCGAGATCGTTGCTGACCGCGCACAGCTCTCCGCGGAGCTGGGCAGGCGGAGGGGCTTCTTCCTGCTCCTCCTCGGACCCTGCAGCCATGGGCCCTGCGGCCATGGACCCTGCAGCCATGGGCCCTGCAACATGGGCCCTGCAACATGGACCCTGCAGCCATGGGCCCTGCAGCCATGGGCCCTGCAAGCCCATACCAACTGCCGCCCGAGCCCCGCCGAGGGGCGGCCCGCGGGCGCCGGGCCTGGCACCTCCCCCGCCCCCGTCCCGGCCGCAATCAGCCGTGCCGGCCGCGGAGTTAGCGGGGGAACAAAAGCCGGTCTGTGGCGGCCGTCCGCGGCCACAATAGGGCTTTGTGCGGCCCTCACCCCCGGGCTCCCCTGCTGGCCTAGGGGGCTCTCGGGCCGCGCCCCCGGGCCCGGGCCCGACTGCCAGGGCGCCCGGCCCACCGTCCCCATCGCGGGCTCGGGAGCCGCGAGGAGGCGCCAGAGATGGCGGCCGGGCCGGCGGCCGGGCGGGAGGAGGGGGGGGCCGGGGCGAAAGGGCCGGGGCGGCGAGCCGGGCGGTCTCGGGGCGCCAGCCCCCTCCCCACCCCGCCGCCCTCCGCCAGGTGCGAAATCTGCCGCCTCCGGCGCGGCTTCAAAGGCGCTTTGAAGAAGTCGGGGGGCCGAGGGGCCGGGGCCGGGGTGCCTGGAGTGGACCCCGGGTCCCGCCCCGCCCGCCCGGACCCCCCAGGGCCTGGCCCGCTGGCCTCCGGCCTCCGCCTGCCCGGTGCCAGCTCCGGCCCGCCGCAGCCCGCGGCCCTCCCTCCCCGCCCCGCGGCCCCTTTCATCTTCCCCAGACTCCGCTTGGGGTTTGCTGGGTTCGGGGAGATAAAAACCGCCTCAAACAGCGGCGGCGCGCCGCCAGGACAAACAGGGCCTGGCGGGCCATGTGCGCCTGGTTACGGCCCGGCCGGGTCGCCGGGAAGGGGCGGCGGGCCGCGCGCCAAGCACCCGGCTCCCGGGCTGCCTCCCGAAGTGGGGGGCCCGGGTCAGGCGCTGCCTCGGTTTCCCGCCCAGGTCGCAGGGGGTAGGTGGGTGGCGACCTCCCGCTAAGCTCTCCCCGCCCCCGGGGCTGCGGGTCCCCGTCGCGGTGTCGCCGGGGCGGCGGCGCCCCCTGGTGGAGTCCGCGGGGAGTGCGCCAGGCCCGCGCTGCAGCCCCCCCAGAGTTTGCAAGTTGTGAAAACCATTCTAGGAACGTTAAGTGAGGAGTATGGGGAAGGCGGTGTCGGAATGGGAATACACAGAGCACACACTTCCTCTTTCCAGTTCCCATCGCGGGCTAGGAGGCAAGCGCCCACCCATTAATTATAACACAACCTCCTGGTGAAAATCAGGCTTCACCAAAGGGAGGAGGAAGTTGCAGGCCGAGGCCGTATAACTTCGTGGGGGTATCTTTGGGTTGGATGGTGTCATGCCTGAGGCAAAACAAATCCTTTTTGGTGGGTTCTCAGCGCTTTCCACTAATCTGTCAGAGTCACAGACTCCCTCTACCTCCAAACCCGTCCTGCTCCCCTTCCCAAGGAGAACTTCCCTAACGAGTTCCCCAAAGGGTTTTTACATTATGCTCTGCAAGCCTTCTGGGACTTCCCAGGCTTCAGTGAACGGAGCTAGCAAAACTGTTCTGTGCGGTATCACCTGGGAGCTTTTTGGAAATTTAGCTTCACAGGTCCACTCGGAATCTGCATTTTAGCAAGATCCTCAGATGAGTCGTATGGCCAATAACATTCTAGAGTCCTTGTTTTCTGACCTGGGAATAACTCTTGGTAGAAAGGAGCAGCAGACACAGAATCTAAGAATGCTGACTTATAATGCGCCCTACTACCTACCATGAGATGAGCAGTTCTTGGGAGTGAAGACTGTGCCTCAAAAATTTCTGTCCTGTCCTAGCCGGTTTGGCTCAGTGGATAGAGCATCAGCCTGAGGACTGAAAGGTCCTGGGTTGATTCCGGTCAAGGCATATGCTCGGGTTGCAGGCTCAATCCCCAGTAGGGATTGTGCAGGAGGCAGCCAATCAATGATTTTCTCTCATCATTGATGTTTCTATGTCTCTCTCCCTCTCCCTTCCTCTACCAATAAAAACATTTCTCTGTCCCCAGAGCATGGTCCTTGGAATTTGCTCATTAATTTTGTTAAATGAATGAACCAATGCCTAAGTCGTTTAGTCCATAACAGCTATGACTAATGATCTCTGATATCTGTTTAGCGGTTTATAATTTATTAAATGGCTTCATTTCCATTTTGAATGAAAAACAACCACATGAAATAATTAGGGCACTGCAAGTGAGGAAGCAGAGGCTTAAAGAATTCAATGATTTTTCCCAAGGTCATGTAGCTGTAAGCCGAGGAGCCACTATTCTGCATTAGTCTCCTTGGAGTTAGATAGAATAAGATCAATTTCACTTTTATTCTGAAGTTAGAATGCCTGGTTTTGATATTTTCAGGTCAGATTTCTCAGTGTCTTGTTCTCTTCAAGGGGTTGTTGTAAAGGTTATACAAGCGCTTATAATACATGCTCAGGAAGTTTTACTGTTTTCCCACTGTACCCCCCTTTCCTTCCAGGACGCCTAGCCCTGTGGGCTCTAAGTTCTGGCAGCCAACACTTCTCGCTCTCAATGACTTTTCTTCACCTGGAGGCTTTCCAGCCTATGTATCTTCCTCGGTGTGATTCACAGTCCTGGGGGGGTTAAATGAGGTACTTCCCTGAACGTGGCTTACTTGGGGCTTTCCAAGAGAGTGGGAGATGGTATTTGGGAATTCGGAACTGGGAAAAACAGCAGCCCCACAGGAAAAAAACAAAAACCTCCCATCAAGGGGTTGGGCCTGCGGACGTGTCCACGCCGTTTTCCCTCCAGCCGCCAGGTGGCGCGCGAGGAAGCGCTAGAAGTCTATCTCCCCTCCACCCCCCACCCCTCTCCTGACTGCGCAAGCGTCCTTCTTCTCCTTTATGCTCTTCACTTCCGTTGAGCTTTATTTCGCCGTTTGTCCCAGGCGGCCACCCGTACGCGTCCGAATCTAGCCCGGGAACTGAGAGAGGCGCTGCGTTCGCGAGTTTGCCGGTCCCGGACGTCTTCGGGAGCGGCCTGATGTGCTCCCTAGGGTTGTTCCCTCCGCCTCCGCCTAGGGGCCAGGTCACCCTCTACGAGCACAATAACGAGCTGGTGACGGGCAGTAGCTATGAGAACCCTCCTCCTGACTTCCGGGGCCAGGTGGCCGGGGCGAGGAGGGAGGGGACCTACAGGCTTGGGCGGAGTCAGGGGGAACCGGGGACCCGAGGCTGTGCGGTGGGGGCGGGGTTGGGGTTGCCAGTCCTCCCATGGGCGGACTGGAAACTGCCCAGCCCGGGCTGGAGAATAGAAGAGCAGGATGTATGTTAGGGC